CTTTATGGGGCTGATTCATAAATCTTCTGCTTAGTGTATAGCTGGGCGAATGCTGTACACACATCACTACTGCCACTAAATGGCGGTGAGGAGCATAGGAGTTTCTTATGCCCCTCGACTCCAGCTAGTGGTAGTAGAGCCGTGTGAACAGCAATCGCCCAGCTATGATTTATAAACCAAACCCTATGTCTAGCGCATTCTTTATTCTTGTGTTTATTATATCTGCAGCTTACTGATCTCCCTAGAGGTTTACAAAATCAGACGATTTGATCCAATCTGTTCATTACTGAAAAGACACATACAGTGTCATTGATCAATCCGATTACATAGAAATGATTATGATTGGCCTGGCCATACACATCGCTCTGTGTACAGCCACCATTGCGTACCTGTGCGCTGTAAATGAAACAATTTTTAGCAGGGGCTCCCTGAGACCTGAAAGTAGTTTCAAGGGTTCCTCCAGGATAAAAAGGTTAAGAAAGGCCTCTGTAACTACAAGCAAAGTTTGTTTACTGACATTTCTGGCAGAAATTTGTTGAGTAGTGGAAATAGCATACGGCTGACTGCTGATTCCTTGCCTTAAACACTACATGTGGGCATTAATCCTTTGCTGGCTTAATGACAACGTTGTTATATTTAACTATGGGAAATGTATCTGAAAATTGATGGTCTGTTAATAAAGTTCTCTGTTTCTTTTAACTTAGATGTGATGTTTAGTTTCCCCTTTGCTTGCTTTGCTTTAAATAAATCATAATGATTTGTAGGCTGTTTTCTACCACCCCCATACCTAGCGAACCTGTTCTGTTATTTAACAAAACCCTCAGAAACCAATACAAGCTTACCCAAATCTGCTGTCATGAAACACTTCTATCGGTAGATTTCATTGGACTTACAGTTGTATTAAACTTTCAAACCATTTTCAATTGTAGCCCCCATCCCCTTCTGTGATGTGGCTATTAGACATTTAGTAATAGCCAGGGCTGTAATTAGCCTGGCTGGATTCATAGTGGCAATTATCTGGTTAATTCCAGGTGTCTGACATTGCCTGTACCCCCCTGGGTGGAGTGTGACTCTGTCATATTGTGGGACAGCCAATGAGAGGCACTGTAGTGTATGTACAGTACAGCAGCCAATCACTTGGTATCTCTCAGCTAGTATAGGCTACATATACTGGTGGGATTTGCCATGTGCTCAGACTAGCTGGGACCAGCCATGGAATAGGGCTGGGTGCTGTTCGGCCTGCCCCCAAGGCTAGGCCTGAGGCCTGGGGGTGGACATGGGCTGGTGTGAGGGAAAGGTTTCCATGAGACCTCCAACATGGAGGAGGCCTGTGTTGCTGATAGAGGAAGAGACCTAGGACCAATGCTCACTCTTGAAGTATCCTGGAACTAAGAGGACTTCAGGAGTATGGTCGGTGTCTTTCCTGTTTGAGGATCTGTGTCTATCCTGCTCATCTGCTACATCAGTCACCATCTGCTGCCTCCTCAGTGGATCTACACTGATATGCCAACCAGGTCTGGTGAGTCTGGAGCTCTTGTCAGTTACCCTTGGAAGCTTAGAACCCGCATATATCCTCTCTCCCCAGTGAAGATGTTCAATAAACCGTTACTTTACATTATTTTACTGGAGTGGATATCAGTTTGTGGGCACTAGAAGAAGGGCGGTTAATGCTAATGGGTGGGCAGCTGAAGAACATACCCTAGACAGACTATAGATGAACTGGGCATTTAGCAGCTCCTTCGGGGGTGAGCGGTACTCAATATTGTAGTCAGATCAAACAAATATATATTGCTCTGTAAAGTATTTCTTTACATTTTTGCCCAAACACTTACAGCCATCATTTTTCTAAATAGCTCCAACTCCTTCTGCTCGGCTTCCCTGAGCTTCTTGTTTATTAGAAGATCACAAGGAACAAAGCAGTGATAATTGCACCTATTATATAGAACGAGGTAAGTTCTACTGTGTGTAGTCCTTACATACAGAATACAATCAGAGACCGAGAATTACAACTAGCATACAGAACCAGAGAAGTGGCACTGCCCATTGTGCCAATCATACAGAGTGAGAACAGATACTGAGAATTACATCCAGCATAGATAACAAATAAATCAGCAGTGTCCAGTATCTGTACATAGATAATTAGAAAACATACTAAAAAAAATACTAACAATTAGAAAGGAATTACACCCACATACAGGAGTCATGAAGAAGCACTGTCTCATTGTAACATAAAAACATAGAACTATAATGTGTAGGGATGCACCAATACCGTTTTTTCAGTATCGAGTATGAGTACCGATATTTATATTAGATACTGGTACTTCTGCTAGCTTGGAGCCGCCGCCCGGCTTCTTGATTGCCCGGGAAGCTGTTTGGCCAGCTTGGTGCTGATTGGCTAGGAAGCCAGCTTCCCAGCCAATCAGCATCAAGCCGGCTGTCTGGCCGCTCAGTGTTGATTGACTGGAAGGTGAGCTTCCCAGCCAATCAGCATTGTGCCGGCTGTTTGGCCGGGAAGCCAGCTTCCCAGCCAATTAGATTCGAGCCAACTAAAGAGCATGGAGCTGGCTTCCCAGCCAATTAGGAAGCTGGGAGGTGGGTCATTAACCGCCGCCCGGCTTCCTTATTGGCCAGGAAGCCAGCTCTATGCTGTTTGGCCGGCTTAATGCTGATTAGCTGGGAGGAGAGGGGGATGTGTATAGATTGCCAGTAAGGTGCAGCAATGAGGAAAGGAGAGGAGGATGTGTATGGACAGCCAGGGAGGTGCAGCAATGCAGGAAGGAGAGAAGAAAGAGAAAGTTTCTGATGACCCCAGTAGAAAATTTACTCAAATTTGCACCAGCATTTTGGTAAACATGCTCAAATCTGGTGCACCACCACCACCACCACCACCATGCGACAACTGAATGAATTGGTGTGAGCCAATTTTATTAATATGTTGCTTGCTAAGCAGATCTATAAAAAAACACCACATTTTTCAGCGATTGCCAGCCTTTGGTAACCCCCCCTTTAGAAATCCTGGTTAAAAATAAGTAAACATTGCAATTTCACCAACTGATAAAATGTACGTTTAATTTAATTTCTTAATTGCATCCCCTGTAAGTATATTGCTGTGTGATCTTTTACCAAAAATCTTGAAGTGAACTTGTACTTTGCCCAGGGCAGAAATAACAGGTTCCCCCGAAAGTCAGGTTTACTTCCAGCATCTCCTCTAACATTAGTTATATTGCAACAATCTGCACCTGACAGCTGCAGCTAACTACAGTGTACCATTTCTTCTTAGATTTTAACAAGCACTGACACTGTAAGATGTAAGCTGACAGCAGCTCTGTTATATGGTGACCTCAGCTGTAAATCTGACAGCGTCTCAGCAGTTGCACCTGCGGGAGTATACTGTATACGCTGGCAATCAACTCGAGGGTGTATGATGAACATCCTACGTTCATTACTAGTTCATTACTGGTTATAGGAAAGTAAAGTGAAAATCAATATTATTGGGATCCCTCCCCGTACAATACTAATACCCAGTGCTTCTGGGTTTTATAGAAACATGGATATGAAATATCTTCACTACTGCCACCTGCTGGTAAAGTTAAGTATTGCAGCTTTCAAAATGTATGTAAACCCTGGGGGCAAGCAATCCTGGCACTCCAGCTGTTCTGAAAATACAAATCCCATCATGCTTTGGCCCCAGGAATCATGGCTCTACCTGTCAGAGCCTTGCAGTACTTCATCGGAGTTGTAGTTTCACCACAGCTAGAGTGCCAAGGTTGCCTCCCCCTGCCATAACATATAAGCCTTCTGTAGACTACAGAACACCTCTTTACTATGTTATGGAGATGGGAGGAGGTAAAGTAATCCTAACACACTTCCACAGTTACTGAACATTCACACCCTAGAACAGGAGTGTTTAATTGGCAGGATCACCAAGTAAATATAAAGGAAAGAAAGCCTGTAAAAATAAAACAAATGCAACTAACACATCTAAAGATTGATACGCTGCAATTGTGTTCTTGTGTTTTGATATGCTTTAAAGCGGAACTTTATACCAGCGGAGGGGGCTTTCTTGCACTTGCAAATTTTGGCACAAGTACGCGCTAACGTGCCCTAGTGATGCAATGTCCATACACCTCCTCATCACTCTGTCAATGGCCACTGACATCTACTTTCAGTCTTCTTCTGGGCCCAATGTCTTCAGAGTCCACCACTGGGTAACCACCAATAATGTAATTCCTCCACATGAGCGCAGCAGTTACATCGTCTCGGCACCTTGCTCCGTTTTTGACTTCTTACAGATAGCAGGAATTAGCCGGGGTGTACACTGTAATGAGCAGTGAACACAGAATAAATAGTTGTACAATGAAGTTTTTGGCACAAGAGGCTCTGTATCTCTCTTCTGCCAAAAGATTCTACCTTCTAGCAATATTGTATTTTGTAACTTCAGTTTAAGCAAGCATCTACTGCATAAACATGGAAGCCGCCATTGTTAATCTCTGTTTTTGAAAATGTTAGTTGCCTGGCTACCCTGCTGATCAAATGCCTGTAATACTTTTTTAGTTACTACTTTGAAAAAAGTCTACAGATGAAGAGTCCAGGCTTAGGCTTGGTTCACAACTAGTCGATGTTGCCGCGCTTTATCGTGCAAAACACAGATAAGCATTTAAGTCAATGGAGGCTGTTTACACCTTTGTGTTGCGTCTCGCGGGCATACCGCCTGTCGCGCAAAAAGATGCAGGAGCTATTTTTGGGCAGTTGTTGTGCGGTTTTGGTTCCATAGACATCTCTATGCATTGTTCTCGAAGTGTGCAGTGAATTTTCTCAGTCGCCTACTGTGTTGAGTGTTCTCCAGCAGGGTGTTCATAGAGATAGCATTCGATGTTTAATACCTGGCAGTGCATGCTGGGAGAGCTATTAAATATCTGAGGCACTCCCTGGCACATGGTCTTCCCTTTTGGGCTTCTGTCCTGTGAGGATGCATCTGTGACCATCTGTCTTGTCCTTAGGCCTTGAGACCTGAGAGTATGGGATGGCGATCTCCCTCCTGGGAGGTGTCTCTAAGATACTGGCTGTCATGTAGTGCTACACGCCTTGAGGAAGCAAAGCTGCAGTTGTCCCCGACAGGGATGGTGAGTGACTGACTGAGTTGGGAAGCAACACAGGAACCTTCCCACTGCTGTCCTGCCTTGATCTCTAAGACTGCGAATTCACAGAAACCTTCCTATAATAGATTAACCTATAATGTTTAAGGGCACAGCGAGTATAACCCTGTGAGAGAGGGACCTAGAAAGTTTTTTTTTGCAGAAATATATTGTTTATTAGTTTTCACAAACAAGAAATGAAAACAACATACAAAGGCAGCGTCAGGTGTACATTCTCAAGGGTAACAGCATGGTATATCATATCGTGCCCATTGTCGAGCCTTGCCTCTGCCTAAATTCCCGTCCCTGATATGGGGGACCCGAGCTTTAATGCCTTCCCCCCTGAGGAGGGTCAATGCGATTGAGGCAGGCGAGGACCTGGGTTGTCAGCTACAGGCTAAATCAAGATATCTTGTGAAGACCCTGCTTCCATAGCCTTCCGGTAAGTAATCTCACCTAGAGCCACCTTACGAAAACAACATAACACGACAAGACAATTGGACAACAGAGGGACACAAGGACAAAGAAAGACAAAGAGGGAAAAAGGGGCCTAGAAAGTTAGAAGACTGTGCTCCATTCACCCTCCTTCCCTAATCTTCTTCATGCACATGCTAATTAAAATATTTAAAATCTACTCAAAGTGATTGGTACTCATCACTCACGCCACCCAATGACAAGAACTTCACCCTGAGAACAATGCACCTATGACCTTTATTACTAAGGAAGTGGGTCTGGGACATTTCGGAATGCCATGTTTTCTTAAACTATGTGCCAGGAGGTTTCCAATAGCGTTGCACAAAAATCAAATATAAATGTGACCACACAACACATAGTTAAAGTGATATTAAAGTCAAAAGGGTTTTAAGCAATTTCAAATGCTAATTAAATCACATATAATGGACGCTGCTCCTTGTTGTCTGCAGAATCAGCTGGTCACCTGAGCACTGGCCCTGATATCCTGTTTTAGGGTGGCTCCTTTCCCTTGCAGGGTCCTATGGAGCCACCTTTGTGTGTGCTAGTAAGCTGTGTGTCTCCACAAACACAAAGGCACACAAGGCAAGTTACTTCCCTACTCCTTGTTCCCAGATCCTGTTTCCTCCCTCCTCCCTCTTCCCTTCTCGAAGCTCATTGGTTATCAGCTGCTGGAGACTGCTCTGTCCCTTGTGATCTTGTACTGGACAGGAAGTTCAAGGAAGCAGAGCAGAGAGAGTTGGAGCTGTTCAGAAACAAAATTATTGTAAGTGCTTGGGGGGAAAAAAAAAAGAAATACTTTGGTGGGAAATGTATATTTGTTTGATTTGGATTTATGAGTAAAAAAAAAAAAGTTTGAGAGTTTATTAATACCTTAAAGCCTAACTCTGGGCTGCTGTTAAACTTAGACATGCAGAGCCTCCCCCTTCCCGCACTGGATGGGTTAAATGTGCGTTTGGCTAGAGGGGAAAAGAATAAGTACCAATACTTACCTTATTCCATGCTCCCCCATCAGCTAGCTCTCTTCTCACTGTCCAACATTCCGGAATGTGGCCAGGCTGTTGCTGAACTCACATTCAATACAGGACTGCTGGTCAGAGAGCTGCGACTGGCTGGGCAACAAAGTAAATCAGCTTCCGGGGATTAATCACACAAATTGAAGGAAGCCTGCGGGAATAAGGTAAGTATTTTGACTTAAAGGAGAACAATGAGGTGAGTGAAAATCACTCATCCTCATAGTTCGAGCCGACGTGTGACAATTAAGTTGTCACACGTCGACTCAATAGATCGGGAAGTGAGCGAACGCATACTGTCGCTCGCTCACTTCTCGATCATCTCCCTGCAGAGAGCCATGACTGTCAGTCACCACTACCCGCAGGGATTCCCCTTCCCCATCTCCGATCCTCCAGCACTGACTGGAGGAACAGACAAGGGAGAGGGAGGGCACAGCCGGCTCTGCCTTTAGATAGCCAGAGCCAGCTGTCACTCACGCAGCTGGGTGGATCTCGACAGCATTGTCGGGATCCGTCCCGGTTGAGGCGGTCTCAGTATACCGCGAGAGTGGGGCTTTAGGGTAGAACTATTACCTTCCTTAGAAAAGTTATCTGCATCTGCATTAACAGTTTTCTCTTTGAACTCCTGCAAAGTCCCACAAATATCTGTTAAACCTGCCGGTGAAGTCCACCTAATGCAGCTTCTTGTGATGGGGTGGTAACAATGCTTCACTGCTCCTACATCCAGAGCAGAGTTGCCACTCTCATGTAGGCTGTGCTGGCTTGCACTATAGTGTGATGGGAATATGTTGCAGGGGGGATGGCCGCCACCATTGTCACTGCTGTTTTACAAACCTGTAGCTTGCCAATCATCATCTGACCATGTCTAGTCCTGTCCTCTACTTTCTGGATTGACAACACTGTCTCTGTTGCTGAAATCCTCCCACTGTAAGCTGCTGTTTCTGGGAGAGTAAAGCTGGAGATACACCTATAGATTTTCTGCATATTTTCTATGGTCAGATGGAAAAAGTGTAACAGATTTCTCCATCTATGCCAAACTAGGTGGATGGAGGAATCTCCCGTTGGGCCAAGCTTTAGGATCTTGCTAGTCTGCCCCGCTGACTGTCAATATACCTGAACAATCTCCTCATGCAATCAAATTGTTCAGGTATTCACTCAGCTGTCACTCACGCAGCTGGGCGGATCCAGACATAATTGTTGAGATCCGTTTCAGCTGTGGCATCTCAGTGTATGCTGAGCTTAGGGTGAGAGGAGGACGCTAGTTTGTGTCCTCCCGTTACCCTTAGGAGAACTATGGGGAAAAGCCCTGACCCCATAGTTCTCCTTTAATATGGTTTTGTATAGTCAGGTAATTGTTTTTATTTATTTTTTATTTATTTGGAAAAAATGTCCGTGTAGCCCTAACCTTGAAATGCCCGGTTTACACTGAGCTTATTATCGCAGCAGGTTCAGCCTGACCAAAGCTTCATTAAAAAAAATCTAATTTATTCATATGGCCCCTGTGCACACCAAAACGTTTTGTCGCAATAAGCAAAATGCCTGCTGCTGAAAAAAGTACATGAGCTTCTTTTTGCCAGATCTCAGCTCGTTTTGGCCCCATATACTCAATAGTAGGGATGCACCGATACAGTTTTTTCGCTATCGCATACTGATATTTTTTTCCGGTACTCGCCGATACCAAATGCCGTTACCGGAAGTCCCATTAAGGAAGCCAGGCAGCGTGTAAAGACTCAAAAATGAGCACTTATCCTTCACAGTGCAGCAGTAGCCCCACTGCAAGGGTTACATTTTTTTACCTGGAGTTCTTCTTTAAAGCTAAACAGCAGGGAAATGTTTAAACCACCCTTGCAGTGGAGCTCTCCCCCTCCCCCACTGCAAGGGTTCAATGATTTTTGCCCAGAGTACCAAGGTACTGCATTCTAATTTACAATGCACCACTGCTGATCCTGTGTTGTACATGATGTTGTCATAGTGTGACAGAGCACCGGAGAGAAGTGGCTTTGGGGGATCAGTTGCAAAGAGAGGAGAGGTCCGCAAGAGCAAAGGATAAGGTAAGGGAAACTGTTTTTTAATGGTTTCCTAGGCAGAAACAAGCATTTGCCCCTTGCAGTGCGGAGAACGGAGAGTGGCAAGACTGGTACAAGACAACAGAAGGGCAACAGTGCACTGTCAGAGGGGGTGACTTTGATGTGAAGGGGGTTGAAAGGGGGGATTTTGACTTAAAGGAGGGCTCTTAGTGTGTGTGGGGGGACTCTGGTGTGTAGCGGGGCTCCTAATATTGAGGGGGGCTCCTGATGTAAAGGGGGACTTCTAGTGTGAGAGGGGGTGACTCTGATGTGAAGGTGACTCCTAATGTAAAGAGGGGCTCCTGATGTAAATGAAGAATCTGATGTGAAAAGGGGGGTGGGGGGATTCTGGTGTTAAAGGGGATGGTTCTTATGTGAAGGGTAGCTCCTGATTTGAAGATTTCAAGGGAAATTCTGATGTGAAGGGATCTCCTAATGTGGAGGGGAGCTCCTGATGTAAAGGGGGACTCCTAGTGTGAGAGGGGGTGACTCTGATGTGAAGGGGGCTCCTAATGTAAAGAGGGGCTCCTGATGTAAAGGACGACTCTGATGTGAAAGGGGGATTCTGATGTGAAAAAAGGGGTTCTGATGTGAAGGGAAACTCTGATGGTGCCTCCCCCTTAAAATCCATACCAGATCTCTATCTGTGATAAGGTTCTGAAGTGAAGGGTAGCTCCTGATTTGAAGATTTGAAGGGAAATTCTGATGTAAAGTGGTCTCCTAATGTGCAGGGGAGTTCCTGATGTATAGGGGGGACTTCTAGTGTGAGAGGGGGTGAGTCTGATGTGAAGGGGGCTCCTAATGTAAAGAGGGGCTCCTGATGTAAAGGACGACTCTGATGTGAAAGGGGGATTCTGATGTGAAAAAAGGGGTTCTGATGTGAAGGGAAACTCTGATGGTGCCTCCCCCTTAAAATCCATACCAGATCTCTATCTGTGATAAGGTTCTGATGTGAAGGGTAGCTCCTGATTTGAAAAAAACATGGTATTAACTTTCACTAACTAAATATTTTGGTTTAAGTTATACTTCAATCCTATTTCTAAAACTCATCTGTTCCCAAAGCATTATGCAAAATAGTTCACATTGGTTGCTCCCCAGCAATGTCCTTCACAGCACAAATTATTATTTTTTGTTCTCTAAACAACTTTTTAAAACTCAGAGATTAAAAATTGCCGGAGTAGCTAAACACAGAGAGTAGACGAGTGATAGCAGGGAGGCGTGAACATGGGAGGGGGCAGTCAGTGAAATCCAATGCTGGCTTTAATGTGCATTGTATTCTTTGAGAATGCTGCTGCATGGAGCTGGGATGATCAGTGTGAGCCCCCTGCACTAAGTCCTACTTCCACTACCTGTCAGCATCAGAGAGCTCAGGCACCTTCCATAAACTAAATGCAGAGATGCCATCTGCCCCACCATGAAGAGGATATCCTGCCTATTGCTCTGCATGCCCCTTGGAGCGGAGTCAGGTTTGCATGCTTTGCAGAAGATGGATTACTTTGTTCTGATCATGTGGACCTTACCTGTCACTATTCTCAAATGCACCTCTATGCCGTTCCTGACAATCCTATGGATTGGAAGTTTAGATAAGGCAGGTCCTCTTTGTGTGTGGCTACATGTCATCGTTACTTGTCTTATGCCCATCCATCACTGACCTCATCTCTTCTTGTCTTTTCAGACGCTTCAACTCTACTGCCTATGTTGTGTGTCATTTGCAGCCACGTTAACCGGTGGGAGTGGGATGGGAGGATTCAATCAAGGTTTGTGCATTCAATTGTCATTCATTTGTTGTAGCCTATTCATTGTCAGTATATAGAGTATGCAACTTGTTCAGAAAGGCAGTGTATTGATCATGTGCAAAGTGCGGTAGTCTTTAGTAACCAATCAACGAGCGTCCTGTTGTAAATTGAGATAAAGTAGAATTTTAAGTAAAAATTTAGAAATGGGCGACCAGGAAGGCTTTTTATTGCAGAAGAGATGTACTATGTCTCTTCTGCAATAAAGGACCATCTGCCTAGTTGCCTTTGCAGCTCAGTGTACAATTTCGGCATAAAACAGAATGAATGAAATCCCGCGCATGAGCAGGAGTTACGTGATCCTGGCACAGCCAATCAAAATGGCCAAAGATCCGATACCTGGAGGAAGTCCAGGCAAAGATGTTGGCTCTGCTGAGGAACATTGCTGAAAAGGAGGTGAGTATAGTTTCACTTTAAGAGATGATTTATGATTGGATGTTTGTGGTTTCTTCACGTTGCACATTGTTACTAACGTTTGCATGAGACAAGAAACGTTTTTCATGTTCAAGAAAAGTTTACTAAAGTGGTGCTCAAAGCTTTGGAAATGCAACAATGGAACAAGTCGGGTTCTAATGTCATCAAGGTTTGCTAAGAGCAGACTTGATTAACTTCTTTGGGGCTTATGTGCCTGTAGCAATGAATGAGAATCACGGTTTCATTTTCAAACCATAGACAGTAGAAATGACAGCTGGAAGCTAATTGGTTGCTAAGGGTAACACAAATCTTTCCTAGCACACTTTTCACATATAAGTCCCTTTGTTTGTAATGAATGGGCGAGTTGACACTTGGTGTAGTCACTAAAGCTGTCCATACGCTGTTAGATTGTTTCCATTCAGCCTGTGTGCTGAAACAATGTGAATGGCTGAATTTCCCATTGAGGTTATTGTAATCTGACAGACAGCGCCCGCCGCTGTTAGGATAATTGAACAGTGACTGCAGCCAATCAGCCACATGCAAAAGGACAGCAGAACCCCACTTCTTCCATGTTCCCGGCATTTCCAAGCGTTTGACTTCAACGTATGACTACATTGGCACTTAGCAAACTTTTCTTGAATATGAAAAGATTCTCATGCAAAGGTTAGTAACTGTTCTGTCAAAGATTTTCGACCCGGCTCACCCACTGAAATAAATCCATCAGATTCACAGAAATCGGACACAATTCTTACAGCGTTTGGCCAACCCAACTGTTACATTGATCTTTTCTGCTGTAATGATTCTGAAGCCAAATTGCTATTAAATTGTACATTTGTTATAACCCGTGACCTCTAGTAAGGGATAGCACCATTTCATGGAGCACTTTGGTTTTAATTGCCTAAAGTGATATTGGTAGAGGAAGTTTTTTTTTTATAGTTTACTATTACCGTAATTGTTCTTGTTATCATAATGAATTGACAGAGATAGTACAAATATACTCTGCAGTGTGGTACATCGTGAGAACATACAGATGCTACATCAGTAATATTACAGAGTACACACATATGAGAGGAATGACAGGATGAGAGGAACAAGAACTTTGTGAGCTAGCAGGCTGAATTATTTGTTCAGTCATTTACAACCCATGTACCATTACTTACATGTGGTATGTAAATAGCAAAAACAAATATCACAAATCATATTAGTATCAGTGTCTCACACAACACATACATCAGTGTTTCATACATTTCATATATCAGTGTCTCATACATCTCATATATCAGTGTCTCATACATCTCATATATCAGTGTCTCGTACATCTCATACATCAGTGTCTCATACATCTCATATATCAGTGCCTCACACAACACATACATCAGTGTCTAATACATCTCATATATCAATGTCTCATACATTTCCTATATCAGTGTCTCATACATCTCATATATCAGTGTCTCATACATCTCATAAATTGGTGTCTCATGCATCTCATATAATAGTGTCTCATACATCTCATATATCAGTGTCTCATACATTTCATATATCAGTGTCTCATACATTTCATAAATCAGTGCCTCATACATTTTGTATATCAGTGTTTCATATTTCATATATCAGTGTCTCATACATTTCATAAATCCGTGTCTCATACATTTCATATATCAGTGTCTCATACATTTCGTATATCAGTGTTTCATACATTTCATACATTAGTGTGTCATACATTTCATATTTATCAGTGTCTCATATATCTCATACATCTGAGTGATATTGGCTAAAATTTGAACTGTCACGTACTTTTACTCTACTGTGTTATTAAAGCCTAACTAAAATCATCTAAAAATAGTACCAATCGCTTTAGAATGCAGCAATGTGGTAACACAACTATAACTAGACTTTTTTTTTTAGTGGCGTAGGGGAAGACTAAAACCTCCACCTTTTTTTTTATTGCTGTCTGTTGAAGACTTTCTTTCACTTGCTATTAAAGTCAATCATTCTGCTTTTTGATATCTAATTTGTTACAATGTGGCATGAAGACTCCATTTACACTTGTGCATGTGGCCAGTTGGGTGAGTCTACCAAATTGCTCCATGAGGCTCGTGACAACAGCTGCGGAAGTGCCATACAAAGCAATGACAGCTGACAGCGCCTGCAGCCATTCACATGTAGTCGGACATGCCTCGATTACCTGCGGATGATCTCCACTGGATGCAAACTATTTGTGTCCAGGGGCGATCATCTACAGGTAACTGCAACATGTCCAAATATATGCAAATGGTTGTGAATGGTTGCTGGTGCTTTCAGTTGTCATTGCTTTTGTATAGTGCTTGCACACTTGTTTACATGAGTCTCACGGAGCATTTCGTATGAATGAGGCCTCACTTGTGTGACGTGTACTTTTGTGGTCCTTTTTGAAATCACCTGGATTTCAGCATGAATGGCTGCTAGAGTGTGCATGTAGATCCGTACAAGTATGGTTGTATGCCCTTGGAAACAGGCAGCCTGCGTCCAGGCACAAACAACAGTACCTGTATGCAAGTATGTGCTCGGATCAGTGTTTACCAGAGTACAGCCGTAGTCTGTCATTGATGTGTACTGGTGGGTTGTACGGACACAGAGATACAGACAGTTTTTACTGTACATAGACCTTTGCACCTGTGTGAATGCGCTCTAATAGCCAAATGCAGTCTCTGTAAACTAATGACATTTAATGTGTAATGTCTTTATTGAACACTATGATTAAAGCTGAAGTTTAATCTGCTTACATTTTGCCCCCCCTGGTTCTTCCTTTCCTACCTCAGCAACATCCTAATTACATTTTTAAATAAATCCTTTCCAATTTTATTACATTCCTTATTTAAGACCCAGTGATCTCAACATTGATGTGCTTCTCTATGCAATGCAACCACTTTCTATCCCAGATTCATAACAGGAAGTGGGAGGAAATCTCTCTAATCAGAGGGGAAATCCCCTCTTATATAGCTATTACTGGAACAAGTGTCCTCATAGAGAGATTTCCTTAATCTTCTGTTCCAGTGACAACGTTTTGTATAACCAGGACATAATGAGAGGTCAAGTCTCTCCAATGAGCAGCATTAAAAACTTGACAGACTCTAATCCTTCTCAGTTCTATTCAAAAAGTTGCAACTCTGGACGGAGATACATATTGGGAAATGCATTGCATAAGCCCATCGAAACAATGCCACAGCGAATGGGTACTGTAATTAAAGCTAAAGGCAAGCAGGGCCGGTGCTAGACTATTTTGCTCCCTAGGCAAGACCAGCTACTTGCACCCGCCCACCCCAAAAAAAAGATTATTTTGTTTTACAATTCCTCAGCAGACACCCCAGTGGACAGGCTAGCTGCATCCTGCACCAGTGGACTGCCTAGTCCCATCTCCCCTCTGCAGACCAGCTAGCTCCATCCCCCTGATCCCCCTGTGGACCAGACCTCCATGGTGTCCACAGTCCTCCCGTAGCACACAGAACCATACAGCCTGCGTTTGACCTGCTATGTGTTGTGTTTCTTTGGATGCACCATGTCCTATTTAGGAGCATTTGAACTGCGAGTATGTGTTCAAATGAAAATGGAGCACTTGACAAGAATTTCGTGGACATAATGCTAGGTTTAACACATTGTGACCGGGAACAAATATGCAGATAAGAAAAGCTGGAGAAAGAATCAGGTGTCCTTATCTATTTACTTGTTCCGGGTCAGTGATCCAAACTAATAGAGCAATAGCATCTGCATGACAGCCAGGCATCTATCATCTTCAGAAGGAGAGGTCAACATTAGCAGCTTCCATGTTTGCCATGACAGATTTCCTTTAGGGCCTCATGCACCTGGACGGAAATGGCCATACAGCGGTCAAATCGGAAGTATTTCACTGCCCTGGAGTCACAGGTACGCCGCATACCTTCACACAGCCAACCTCTAGAAATGAATAAAAGGAAAGCTAAAGAGTATATAGGCAAACTCTATTGCTTAAATGCATACCGGGACACTGCCCCTACTACAGATGGTCTGAGTCCAGGGCAGTGTGTAAGTCCCAGTATGCATGTAAACCGTGGGATTTGCGTATATACCTGTACAGTCACAGCATCAGCCGGCCTGTTATTGATTTCCAAAGACCAGCTGTGCACAGAGAAATGAGCCTGATCTGTACGCTGTACGGCCTGGTCCGTCTATGTGCACAAGGCCTAAAGGCACATTTTAGATTTAAACAATTCCAGAGAATGTTTACACCTCCAGTTTGCCTCGCCTTCCCTACACTGTCAGGAATAATTTACTGTCAGGTTTAAGGACTCGGCCTCACGGTGAGGCTGTAGAAGCCTGCTCTCCATGTGAAATAATGAATTAATGACAGGTTTCCTGCATGCTATGCACAGCACACAGCGGTGTTGCTGAGGAATTCCCCTCTGCAGATGTTGTTTCCTGGAGGGCCGGTCTGGGAGCTCTGCTCTTCGTTAATTTACACGAGCCTTGATGTAGTGAAGAAGTGATCACTAGACACAAATCTATGTCCTAAGATGCTACATATCTAATGGCCA